CTCTCTCTCTCTCTCCCCCCCTCTCTCTCTCTCTCTCTCTCGTTGCAGGACGTTGACGAGGCGTTAGATCGAGGCGTTATCTTCGAGGGTCTGTCCGGCCTCGTCCCCCCCGGCGACCCCCCCGTTGCCCCCGGCGACCGTGCGTCTCGCCGCCTGACGTCCCGCCTGGTGTCTCGCCGCCGCCTGCAGCGCGACGGGGGGGCGGTGCGGCGCCTCAGGGATCGAGAGACCGTGGCGTTTCGGCGCTCGCTCTATCGTCTCGGCGTGCGAGTGCACGGGGTCGCCGGCGTCTCCGCTGAGCTGCTGCCGCGTGACATCACAGCCGACAGCTTTCGCCTAAGCCCCGCCCCCTTGGAAAGGCTCCGCCCCTGGCTGCGCCGCGAGCTAACGGTGCTTTACGGTGTTCACACGTCCTTGGTGGATATCGTGCAGAGAATCGTTACAGCGAGGCTTCAACGACACGGCCTGGAGGACCAGAACACCATAGAAGAAGAGTTACGCCCCTTCCTCTTGGCGCGAACAAACCACTTCCTGCACGAAATGGTTAGCTTCGCAAGCTCGCCGTTAGCGTTGGAAAGCTACGATTTAGAGGCGGTTTACGAGCCGCCGGACGATGCTATCGTGCAGCTAAACGACGACAGCAGCGACGGGTCCGTTATCGCTATTTCAGAAGAAGACGAAGAGGAGGAAATGGACGAAGAAGAGGCGGGAAACGATGAAATCCCGACAGGAAGTTGCCTCAGTTTGGCGGCGTGGGACGACGAGACGCCAGGCCCCTCCTACTCTCTGAGCCCGGCCAATCAGGAGGCGGCAGGGAAGGATGAAGAGGGAGAAGAGGAAGAGGAGTGTTTGATCGTTGGGTACAAGAAACCGATCGCAGAACGAACGCCGGAGCTGGTGCAGCTGACGTCAGATAGTGAGGAAGAAGAGGAGAAGAAGGAGGAAGAGGAAGATAAGAAGGAGGAAGAGGAGAAGAAGAAGGAAGATGAAGAGGAGGAACTTCCTGCCGTCGCTCCTCCTCTTCCTCAATCTCCCACAATCCCTCCTCCCATTGCTGGCTGTAACAAAGATGGCGGTTTGTGGTCGTCCCCAGAGAGAGGCAGGAAAGAGAAGAAGAAGACGAAGAGGAGGAAGAGGAAGACGAGCGGCACTTTATTCAACCCGAATCGTTCTATTTTTCCCGCCATGATGCGCCGCCGCTCCTCCAGCGCCGAGTCCAGCCCGCCGGATTCTCACTGGGACGGCTCGTCATCATCTTCCTCATCCTCCTCTTCCTCTTCCTCCCCCATGGAAAACCACGGGGAGAAACCGGGAGGGAAGAGGAAATATAAAAGCCGCCATCTGGACCGCGATGAGAAGGATCCAACATGGCGGCCGCGGGAGGACAAGGAGCGCCGGAGGAGGAGCCGGGAGGACGAGGAGAGGAAGGAGAGGTGAGGGGGCAGGGGCCTAGGAAATGAAAATAATAATGAATTGGATTTTCAAAATACAACATTTTGGGGATTTTCAAAATAAAATACAGTGATTTAAAAAAAGAAAACAGTAATTTGGAAAATAATTGTTTTATTGAGAAAAAATAGTTTTGTTTTCCAAAATAATTGTTTTATTTTGTGATGTAGAATT